ATCATATGTGGACCCTAAAAATGCTCATAATATCCCGACTTGTTCAGCTACTTTTGTAATATACATCTCTGGTTGTTTAGTAAACACTATGCCTCTACAGTGGCTGAATTATTGTAACCCTGTGTCAGAATCTATCTTAGGTTGGGTTCAGTGAGTTATGTCACTTCTGAGAGTTATAGTAATTGATTTGGTATGTTTGGAATTTTTAGACTAAAAGGGAAAACTCAGTTGCTTCTCTCCCACATTTCTCAGTATTATTTAAAAGCACTAATACCCTTAATTCAATCTTTACAACAATTCTATGAGTTTGGAATTAATATTACTCTTTTATAGGTGGATAAACTCAGACCTAGAGAATTTTAATGATGATACCATGATTGCACTGCAAATAGGTGACAGGGTAGGTCATGAGTTAAAGTGTTTTCTGTCCAAATCAAATTTCCTTTCTATAATAACCACACAACAGGCTATAAAGTAAAGTTTATTATAATAGTTAAGCCAGGAGGTATGTAATGTTAGGCAAGTCACTTTACAGTCTTCTAAAAACTGCCATGAGATTATTTCTCAAAAAATGTTATTATAAAGATAAAATTAAACCTAATTTATTTTAATGCTGGCTGGCTGGCTGGCTAGATGAATGGATGAATGCATAGATGGTTTGGGACTTCCTGTTTGTGGTTACATGTGTATGTGGGTGTGCATGTGTGTGTACATATACACCACTTCTCTAAAAATCCCTGGTGCCATTAAAGTCAAAACAAACAGCTTATAAATCTTGGCTAACATTTAACAGAATATTATCCAAATGGTCCTCAACCATGACTACACATAAGAATCTCTGGAGGGCTTTTCAAAGATAGGGTGGTGTGCAGACATTTTTTTTTTAAGATTTTCGTGTTATAAAAAGATATGACTAGCATTAAAAATGCTTTTTTGTTGTTGTTGTTCTTTTCAACTGATGGTAATGGCTGACTGTAGGAAACACATCTAATACTCTGGATACTAACATTAGGAGGTTTTAGACTCATTTTTACATTCTTTCAACAAATTTCCAAAAGGTGAAGTTACATTTTAAAATGTTTATTCAGGAAAATGATTATCTGATTAGAAAAGCTCACATGTAACCCCCGGATCACTGAGAGGCATATGTTCACTACAATATTATGTATAATATTATACATAATATTTTATTTATATTATGAATAAAATTGACTGTAAGACTTTTGAAGAAAGTGATAATATGTGGCAAAGTAATCTTGTTTATATTTATCTTGAGATTTTCACATACACAGTTTTTATGAAGTATGTTGTTAAATTGACCTTGCACTTTTGTGTGTATGCAATTATTTCTTAAGACATTTTATTTAAAAAGTTACTTGTGGATCCTTTCAAGTGATATTATATAATCTTTTTGAAAATGAAATTATTCTCATTCTCTTTGACAAAACATCCAGTGTTTCCTTACAATCTTCATGTCTTCAGAAGGAGCACTGTTTCTTTAGATAATATTGAATTTAGTGTTGGACTGTCTTCCCAGGGGAGAGCAGCAGAAAGTCAGCGCATGTTACCATTCCCAGGCAGAAATCTCAATAGGCTTTTAAATAAAACAAACAAACAACAGAAACAACAACGCTTAGTTGGCGCCGCTGTGAGTTGTCCATAAGTGTTCTATCAAGAATTGAGTAGTTAGTAACCAGGGGTAAAATTTTAGTATGAAATCCTTTCTTTGTTCTTTTGTTTCTCTTCCTCATTGTGCTTAAAACTTACAACTTTTCCTTATTATTTCTGGGTTTTTCAGTGTCCCTACCCCTTAGTTCCCTGATAACATACCCATATCTTCTCTCATTTTCTCAAATACATCTAGTTCTTTTATTTAATTTTTAACTGCTCTAAGTTCTTCTCTTTTGGTGTTTTCCCTTGGTTTCCCTCAGCTTTCATTCTCTTGTTTGTCTCCTGAGTTCCCATCACCTCACTACAGCTACACATAGATGGATTCAAACCTCAGAACCAATGCATTTCAATGTTCCTCTTTCTGAAAGTAAAGAAGTGAATTCCTCATGCTGACTCCAGAATCAAGCCTTTCTGGTCTCTTCTCTTTCCTAAAAGGAGGAGCAAGAGTCTGCCATAGCTGTTTTGAAACTAGACATCAGCAATATTGCTGGCTTTACTTGTATGTTTGAGCTACCTGAATCTGGAATCATGGATGGCTTCACCTGCCCCATGATCACAGTAGAAGCGATTAGTATGGGCTGTGAGGTTATGATATGTCAACACTGTAAATAGTTGAATGGTTCAATAAAGGCCGTCCTCTTTACTGATGAGGTGTTATTTTTGGACATACTGGCTGCATTTCAACTGCTACATGTGAAAAAGGAGCCAGCATGTGCCTCTGTGGTGTTTATGCTTATATATTCATGCATAATGTATCCAGGGTTCCAGATAAGGTAATCTGTGTCCAAAGGTTTGGTTTATCCTTCCTAGTTTTTATGAGTATTTTCTGTATTTTGGTGTGAGCTCTTGCAAAAGCTATATAGTTCTCAAGTATTTGAAAGCTCCTAAGGGCTATTAATATTTGGCCTTCGTAGCTTTCTAATATATACAAGAGAATTATAAGAGACACATTCTTCTGTTGCTGTAAAACAGCTTGCAGAGTAAATATTTTTCTTAATGAAGGATTAAGCAGATACCTACAAAAGGTGGACTCCTGCTTGTGATCTAGCGAAGTCTAAGCAGGTTGCAAAGCTCAGTGAAGCTTGATATCACAGAAGCCATCGCTTTACAAATAAACTCCATATTTATCACTTCCTGTATTGTCATAATCTGCTAAAGTGGTCTTTTGTCTACATTATAAAATGCTTCTATAATGATGAATTACATCTCAGCCCTTGGTTTATTAACCTGTGTAGGAAGCTTGTTTTTAATAGATAGGAGGAGAAACTTTGGGGGTAGAAGTATCCATTATTTTCAAAATTAGGATTTGGAATATGTCTAATATAGTAAAAAGAGAGAAATTAATTAAGACTAGATTTGAAGTCAAACAGTATTTGATAATCTGTGCTTAATGACATTTTATACTTTTAATGATAAACCAGTTGGGATATTTTATGAAAGCAGCCTTTCATAAAATAAAAAAGAATTTCTGTATGGGTATAACATACTAATAAGAAACATCTTACATTGCTGTACAAAGAAATTAGATGATAATGCTGGGGACCAGTTGGAATACTGTTCTAGTGAAAAGACTGCATAATGCTAACAGCTTTTATAAAAGTAGCTCATTTTATGGTGGGTTTTTTTTTCTTTTGTTTCTTAATGTCTTAGATTAAAAACTTATTTCTCAGTTTCAGCACATGAAATGAAATCTTGTTACTTAGAATTTCATGCAGTAGATATTTTGGATAATTCATTTTTATCTTTTCTAATTCTTATCTTTTTGTGTATCAGTAATCATGTTAACTTAGAAGCAAAAAAAAAAACAAAAACAATAAAACCTCAACCCATTTCTCTTTTTAGTTGATTTGGTACCATTTTTTTACTTATTTTCTTTCTTTTCTCATTGTTGCAGAATAAAATTCCCTTACACTACTGCCTATTGTATGTTTTGAATGGAGCTATAATTTATATTGTATAAAGAAAGGTTTTAAGAAACATGTTTTGTTCCTTTAAGTGTATGCTCAAGTTCTGGGGGAAATAGCAAACCAAAATCTTTTTATTAAACAAAGAATGAAATGTACCAATTTAATATAATTTTAGGCATTGTTGTTCTTATACCATAATGAAGCTGAAATAAAGTTTTTGGTCTTTTCACACAATAGAACAGTAATGTCTGTGTTAGCTTGGTCAAATTAGATAAAACCAAAATGATCTGTTATGGTCGAATTCTCTCTGTTAAGGCTAGACTGACACATGCTAATAAAATTTGTGAGCCATGATGAGCCTCAGAAGTAGGCATCCAATAAGTACTTGTTGAATTTGAGCAAGTGTAAAAATGAATTATATTCATGCCTAATAATTAAATGCTGAGCCCATTAGTCTTGGGGCTCACTATATAGACTCTTGGGGTCATTATTATTATTAAATTTTGTTCATTGAAACTTCAAAGAATGAAAATGAACTTGGACAAACTTATTTTCATTGGCTTAAATGAAACAAAACAGTCAGACAATGTAAAATTTCCAGAATAAGTTTTTTCTAAAATTATTTCTTAAACAGTACATTGTAGTAGTTCTGTCCATTATTTTGAGAAAAATGTTGTCATCACTAAGTTATGATCCAATTATCAGAAATAATTTGTACTGAATAATGTGATAATTGGGGGTGGGAGGTTGGAGAACTTTGTGCCCCATTTTAATGTTCATGAAAATGGTATGGTAGCTCTTGCATCAAATATGAAAGTTTTCCTAATATTGTTGCCAGGTAATATTATGCGTCCAGATTATGATAGTTGAGTAAGGGTTAGGTTATGAAATTGTAGAATTCTGTAGCTGGAAAGGATGTTCAAGGTTATCTAATCAAAATTCTTATTAGTTTATAACTGAGGAAAATGAAACTCATAAATGCTGGATGGGTCAAACCAACAAAATGAATGTTTTTAATTAAATAGGCTGTACTTATACAATTTTAAGTGCATAATCCTTTGCATACTGAACTTGTCTTTTAGAAGATGTTGTGTAAAATTACTCCTCACTTTTAGGTTCCTGTGGCCTCTTTTCTCCTCCCTAGAGCACTTACTTCACTGGATTTTCACAGTTGTGCCTCTCTCTCCCAATAAGATGAAAATGTCTTTATAGCAAAGGTCTTGTTTTACTGTTTTGTACTTTCGTACTCTCAATTTTAATCATAATGACTGTCACAGAGCCACCCTTTAAATATTTGGGGAATGAATGACTGTCCCTTAGCAATAAAAGAAAAATTAATAAGCATTCCAGTAATAAATCTTTTCATCTATTAAATTGTGTGATTAACAAAGATAAATATGTATTCCATTTTTCTCCCTGCAGTCTCCAAACGTCCACAACTACCCCGATATGGAAGCTGTTCCCCTGTTGCTAAATAATGTGAAAGGGGAACCTCCGGAGGACTCGTTATCTGTAGATCACTTCCAAACGCAAACTGAGCCAGTGGACTTGTCAATCAACAAAGCTAGGACATCCCCCACAGCCGTTTCATCCCTCCCAGTTTCCATGACAGCATCTGCCTCCTCACCTTCTTCAACTTCAACCTCTTCTTCGTCTTCTAGCCGCCCAGCCTCATCCCCAACTGTTATAACATCAGTATCTTCAGCATCATCCTCGTCGACAGTATTAACTCCAGGGCCCCTGGTTGCCTCTGCATCTGGTGTAGGAGGCCAGCAGTTTTTGCACATTATCCATCCCGTACCGCCTTCAAGCCCCATGAATTTACAGTCGAACAAACTGAGTCATGTTCACCGCATCCCTGTGGTGGTACAGTCGGTGCCTGTTGTCTACACAGCTGTGCGGTCCCCTGGAAACGTGAACAACACTATTGTAGTGCCGCTTTTGGAGGATGGGAGAAGTCATGGCAAAGGTAAGGGACATGAGCAAAGCCTTGATTTATTTCAGCACTGGAGGTAACTGCTTTTATTCAGTGAATGAGCCCTAAGTGATATGCAAATACGGTGCATCCAAACAAGATTAAGGCACAAGACAGAGCCACCAGTTGATCAGCCATTGAGTGGAGCACAGTGTAATAGGAAGTAACCTTATATTTATAGAGGTATATCATCGGTATTGCTTATCTGTATTTTTATGTATCAAGTCATTTCATGTCAGAATTCAGATACCTAAATTTGCAAAAGCGTTTACCTTCAAATACCCAGATGGGAAGAACAATCTATAGCTAGCATAACTGTTAAGTACAAATGCATAAATCCCTCCTAGAAATGATCCATTATGAATTTTTTAAAAAGTGAATCAGCATGTTACTTCTTGGAGTTGTTCAGTTTGGAACTTATTTGGATGACAGTAATGCAAAATGCCGTGAAGTGGTAATGCTTGGAATCTGCTCAACTTGTAAATTAAGTTGCCATTAAAATAATTTTAAAGTTAGGTGTTTGGCTACAAAAATATCATGTAGCTTGAATTCCTATTTTCATATAAGTCTAAGTTATTTTAAATAACAGGATGGCTCAGTGTGATGGAAATATTTCAACACACAATATTAATATTCCCTTCCAGGGTTTAGAAGGCGGGAATATACTTTGCTACATGACTGTATTTAATAATACCTAGTTATTTAATTATATATGATAGTTTGCAGCTAATTATAAAGTTATTGATCTACTCCTAAGTTCTTTTTTTGTTTCCAATTTTTACTAGAAGGAACTTGTAATAGCATTATGTTTTTGATTTTTTTTTTCTTCCCTTCCCGGGAATATAAAAAATACGCTATCCTTCTATAGAAATGTAAAATGCCCATGATCATTGATTTATTCCCTTTTAAACTGAATGCATATGTATATATTTTGTCTTCAGAACCTATAAATGATGATGGATTAAGACTTTATGTTGTATTACTTTTTGCTTTGAATACTGCATTACTACTAAGGCCCATGATTAAAATATGATTAACGAACACATAAAACACTGCCTTCTCATGAAATGCTAGTAAATATGGTTGTTTTGGTTCTTGTAGAAGGTAGGTACCAATGCATAAGAGTAACATTTGATTGTGAACTTAAAGAAATTTTTGCAAACATACAATACAAAATAGTGCATCCACCCTTGGTAAGTTATTGTTTATGAGTACTGCTATGAGTTTCTTCACAACACATGGAATAAATGTCACCTTCCCAGTTTGCCAAGTGAAAAATCTCATGACTCAAAATAATCAGAGAGATTATACTGCAATTTTGAGATGCAGACACTCTGTACTTACATGTCAATTTCTCTCTCTCTCTCTGTCTCTCGTGCTGTGTGGTCAATGGTCAAGAACTAGTCCCACCACCCTCCTCATGAACAGGTAGAAGAAAAAGAGGGAGTAGGGAGTCTTTTCATGGATTTTACTTGAGCTGAACCCTAATTGATATCACTAATACTTCTGATCAAAATGAGCTAGTAGATTTGAATAATAACATAACTGAAGGATACCTCAGGTCTTTATTTTCTTTTATAATTATAAATGTTTTTATTACCTTCTTAAGAATTAGGAATTAACAATTAGCAAAAATATAACATGGCATATTGCATTATTTTATGCATGTGTATATCTGTGTACCATAGAATCCAATCTTTGTGCAAAACCACTTAAGAGAAATACTGCTTTTATTGTGAAGTTGATTGATAAGGATTTTTTTTTTTTTAAGATTTTTATTGGGTAATTGGGGGGATAGGAACAGTGCTGGGGAATTAGGGGAAGGGGAACAGACAAGTTGCTCTCGTTTTTGTTCTTCAGTCTAGTTGTGGAGGCCGCTGCTTCACTGGCCCAAGTTGGCACCATCATTGCGCTCTTCCCTGGCGAGGCAGATCAGTCGCCAGCTTCTGGACGGCCGCTCACTGCGGCT